GTCCATCCAATTCACTTGCAGACTTGCGTGTTTCTCTTGCGACGGATGCACATGGTACTTAGCTTCTGTGTCAATTGGCTCATTCTGCGGGCGAGTGGTCACTGCCTGAGTTCAATGCCGGAAAAGGTAAGTAGCTCTAGAGTGCAGTATAGAGAACATTATGCCAAATACGCGGTCATTAGGAGAGACTATACCAGCAACTTCGTATCTTTTAGGTCCATTGGTCTTGTTTGAGTGACACTAGCCATGCAACCGGACAATGTTGGTGAACGGCTTCATAACCAAAGAACTTGATTGGTTCGCCATTTAGCTTCCTGTGTGGCGTGATATTGTTTCCGTGGACTGGTTTAGATTCTTGTCCATGTTTCCAGGAGTCTAGCCAATTAATAGCAGCCCAAGCTATTTGAATAGCCGGATTATGTCTTCTTATCTGGTCTGCACTCCATCCGCTTGAATCCGTAAGCAGTGCAAACGCGTTGTCCCCTGCACACTGTGACAGGCATGTGACTTCTGCATGCAATTCTGGAAGAGTGTACAGGGGCAGGACGAATATTCCTGTGAAGTAGCAACATGATCTGAGTATAATCGTAGGACATCAAGTCTTGACACTACTTGTGACATGATCAATTCTGCTAATGCTCTAGTGCAGACTAGCAATAAGAGGCATTTGTCAGATACTAGTAACCGTGAGGTACTGAGACGATTCTCTTTGGCAAGCCACCCACTCTGCTATAAATGCTCAAAGTTAATAATCTGTCATCTGCCTGCTCCAACTTGGCTGTCCTCCTGACAAGTGAAAACCGCTGGCGTCGTCCAGGCCATAAACACCATTATTGGCATTAATCCAACGCCTCACTTGCTCCTCGTGTCTGCAGGTCGTAACAATAGGTCTGGCACATCGAAAAACTGAAATATTTGGAGCTCTTAGTTCAAGCTACATTTTCAGAGTCAGGAAGTTGGAAATGGCAAGAAACCCAGCTTCCCGTCACCTTCTAAGTTGACATCACGAGCAATGACCATTATCAGCCAGCAATGTTTTACTAGAGCAAAGGCGCTGGCGCATGGCGGGAACAGAAAGCTTTCCATCCAGCAACGTTTCTTTCTCGCACAGCGATAAGCCACACTCGCTACACACCAAACAACAACACATTTGTATTGCGGTTAGGAGGGCCAGAAGTGTGACACCACGTTCTTTTACATGGAAGGATGCGGAATTGTAGAATAGCGGAAGAAGGGACAGAGCACATGGATATTCTATGAAAGCAACGCAATGGCAGCAACTGAGAGAGAGCAATGACCGAAAACCAGAAGCACCACTTGGGACCGTCAGATTAATTCGTCTGGGCCGAGCCAGCCGGGAAAAAACCCTCGCGCCGACGGACGCATTATTTTTTTGAGGGAAAAAAACGGGTGTAAAACCCCAAGTGGCTAATCTGACAAGAACAAAAAGCAGGGAGGGAGGGTGGGTACCTCAAGATGACTGGCCAGTCGTGCTCATGCGCAGCGGTTTAGAGAACATGTGAAGATGTACGAGTAAAAATAAATTGATCAGATGACTGCTCACTTGTGAGAAAAAAACACGAGAAAAAACCGCTGTGACGAGAAAATACTTCTCGCCTCTGTCGCTGCGCTCTGCCGTCGAGAAGATACCATTCTCGCACAGCGATAAGCCACACTCGCTACACACCAAACAACAGCACATTTGTATTGCGGTTAGGAGGGCCAGAAGTGTGACTGCTAGACAACGCATAGTAGGGATAGAGCAGTGGAAGAAAGTGGACAGAGGACAACGCGAATTCAGCTATGGATGCGCATATCTGTACGAGTATGGTATAGACAAGCTAACACCATGTTCGGCCTCCGCTACTAAGCAACGTCATAGGCCAAGAGATTGAGACAACTGGAGGAGCTGGGAAGCGACTCCTCTATATACCTATTCTTGGAGGAGTCCGATTTCCAACCACCATGTCGCTTGATCAGTCTGTCAGCGGTCCCAGCACTGGCAGCAGTAGAAGCGGCTCCAGAGGGCATACTGTGAAGGCCGTACTCCTTGGGGTCAAGGCCGACGATGGCCAGGCATTTTTGCACCTTCTCCAGGGCGCACGAGTAGCTGATGGCGATAGGCCTCAGTATGGCCTGCTTGCGGCAGCTGCCCAAGCAACAGAATAGAGGCTGGTGGGGCAGATGCTTGCCAGCGGTGAGGAAGCGCTGCACCAGCTCGACGGGACAGGTGGTTAGCCCAGATCTGGCAATATACACCTGGTGGCCTTTGCGAAACTGGTCGTTCTTCCTCTGCTGCAGCGAGATCACCATGTGGGTGTCTGTAAAACTGATGTCGGAACTCGTCAGGCGGTGCAGCTCGTCCCATCGCAGCATTGCGGAGAAGCCCAAGACAATGAGGGTGATTGTCTGCAGGTCATCCAGGGAAGTGGACGAGTCGGAGTAGTGCTCGATGATGCGCTGCACTTCCGTGGACACGAGTGCCTTCTTCGGCTTGACAGGGCGCGCAAGCAATCTCTGCACAGCCCAATGGCACTGAGCGACACGTGCGTGTCGGGTGGGGTCTGGGAGCGTTGCTTTCTGGTGCACCCATGATATGCTTGCAACAGCGGTGGCAACGGGTGCCGGTGATGAGGATGACAGCAGTAGGTGGACAAGGTAGAGGCCAACGTGAAGACCGTCGGCGGGAAATGCGGTGAGTGAGGCTGATGATGCGAACGCATGCCAGCGATTGAAGCCTCTGGCGTACGTCTGAACGGTTGAGGGTGCGTGCCCGCACAGCATCACTTTCGGCAGAAGGTGCATCAGCTTGCCGATAGAGCTGTCCTCCTTCGCTAGTTGCTCCAGTGCCGTCCAACCCGGGATATGTTGTGGGGCTGTAGGGAAGAAGCATAAGACCAGAAGAAGGGACAAGGACAGGGGAAGGGGCGGCCACCACGCCGACAGGTTTGCCGGCATGGTAGTTACCAACATTGGGAGCGTAAGTTAGAATAAGTATCCAGCGAGCAGCAGCACTATACAGCCCCCGTAATGTGGCTTGCGCCAGTTTAGACTTGGAAAAGGAGCGCCCTGCATCGCTGACATTGTGTAGCTACCCTTTTGTGCCAGCGGCAGCCCAGACTCTGTCTACCCCGTTTCACGGTAGTTCAGGGTGGTACGCTGTCTGACCGTGTATGCTATCACACCAACTACCTCGTGTGCAGAAATATTTGACGGAAATCTCGCCTTGCGGTTGTATTGCTCTGGGTAGAAATAGATAGGCCTATATGGCCGGAATTAGTGCGTAAGGGGGAGTGGGGGTTGCTGCTAAACAAAGACAGAGAAGTTGAACATTATACACGAAAATGTATCAGATTGCATGATTGGCAGCATCACCACAGTGAGGATGTGAGTTTATACTGCTGAATGACGCTGACTGACGCTGACCGCTGGCTGATGCTGACCGCTGACTGATGCTGACTGCTGGCTGATGCTGACTGCTGACTGACGCTGACCGCTGGCTGATGCTGACCGCTGACTGATGCTGGCCGCTGACTGATGCTGGCCGCTGACTGATGGCTGATGCTGACTGATGCTGACTGCTGAACGGCGCTGACTGTTGGGTGACGCTGACAGTTGACTGACGCTGCCCGCTGAATGATGCTGGCTTCCGGCCGCTGTTCTTCCGGGTTGTTGTTCGGGATTAAGGCGGCCCTTGCCTGGGGCGGTTGGGCTTGTGCTGGCCGCATCCGCAGACTCTTGCAGCGAGTACTTCGCATGTTGGGCTATCGCTGCCGAAGAGGTTCCACTTACACTCACCCGAGATGAAAAGGTTCTCCCGAGGCGGGATGACCATGATCAACCACCATATCTCGGAAGCCCGCTGGAGACCATAGCAGTGGCCACCATGTGGCCGAAGGCCAGAAAGGGAGGATCAGAGTGCCGTCTGCGTGGCAAGCTTGCATGTGGCGAATCGTGCGGCCGATGAGGTGGATTGGAGGCTCGATCCAATTGTTCTCGTCGTTCCAGCTCACGGAGAATGCGTCCACAGACGTGCAGCCTGGGGACCACCATCTACTGCAGAAGCGCTGCATCTGAGCATTCTGCGGAGTAGCGAAGCGGTCGATTGTATGTGGGCCCCATTTCCGGTCAAGCATTAGGAAGACATCTGGCGTAAGCTGCCAATCGTCCTGGTCCTTCACCTTTGAGAAGAAGTCAGCTCTCTCATTCTCTTCCCGAGGTATCCACTCTGCCCGGAACGTGATACCTTGTCGAATGCAGATGCGGAAGAGTGCCAGGGCTTCGTCGTGAAGATGGGGGTGTTTGCTGCCAGATGCGATTATCGCGACTGCCGCCTGATTATCTGATCGGTGGATCACTTCGCATCCTGACAAGACTGGTAATAGAGATAGTATCACGTATCTAACGGCAATGAGCTCACGGAGAGTGCTGCTTGTTTCACGTACCTCTGGTGGAAGCGGTCCTCTGGCAACGCAGGTGCCGAGCTTTGAAACGGAGTATCCGCCCCACCCAGTTTCGCTGGCATCTGACCAAGTGAGAACTGCAGACGCTGCTACGAGGGGCCTCAGCGGGCGGCCGTGGAATTTATGGAAGCTTTCCGACCAAAACGTGATTTCATTGCGGAGCTGGGGAGTCGCATGTACAATCTCCTCCCACGAGGCGGCTGTGGAGATAGCCTCATACATTGCTCTAGTTTGTAGCTGTGTTACCGTACCGAAAGCTGGGCTCATTGAGATGATGGAACCAGCGATCTTGGCTACTTCTCTGGCTGTGGCATGATCAAGGTTTGTTGTGGTGAGGAGGTGCGAGAGTTTCTCGACACGCGCTTCGGTCACCTTGATGGTGCCCTGGGCCAGGTCAACATGGAAGCCCAGCATGTCTCCCTGTTGTGATGGTGTGAATCGGCTTTTCTCACTGAGAATAAAACCTGATTTCAGGATGTCTGCCCGAACAATATCAGCAAGCTTACTAGCAGCAGTCTGTGACGATTCTGCCCCCGC